GGCAGTGGCCGGGACCGTTGGGGGCGGGGGCCTTCGCGGGGCTTCCTTGCACTCCCGCTGGCCTTGCAGGTCCACCGCCAGGCCCCTCATGGGGCTTGGCAGTGGAGCTGCAAGACTGCCACTGGCGGCCGGGACCATTGGGGGCGGGGGGCCCTTTGCGGGGCTTCCTCGCCAGGGCTCGGATTGGGGCACCGGGGGCGGAGTGGGCACATGGCAAAGCCCCGCCCCCTTCTTCCGGCCGCCCCCTGCTTCCAGCCTCATTCTGTTGCAGAAGGAGGAAGAAGCAGGAGGGTAAGTTGGCGTCCTTCCCCTCTGCCTGGCCGAGGCCACTCCACGTGGCCTCTGCAAGGACTCCCAGCCCCATCCAGGAGCTTCCCCGAGGTAGCTGTGTTAGTCTGTTGCTGCAAAATAGTCCAAGAGTTCAAATAGCACCTTTAAGACTAACAAATAGCACCTTTAAGACTAACCTTTAAGACTAAGACTAACTGAGTGGTGGGTGTGGCCTTATGACACACGTCCGGTGATGGCAGGGGGTGTGGCATATGCTAATGAGTTATGCTAATGAGTTCCCCTAGCTCTTTTTCTACGAAACGACCCCTGGATTTAATTAATTAGCCAAACCCAAATAACAATCTTCCCAGTATCAAGATACCAAAAACAACAAAACGGGGCCAAAATCAGTCCAATAATACACTCTTAAACATTAAATATGTATGTTAATACAATCACTTTTATACTTGATAACAGTATGTAAGTAAACAAATTATTAACAAGGTATACAACCTAACCATACAATATCCTAATGTTATACAATACTAATATACTAACATACAGTAATATCACAAAATACCAATTGTAGCTAACAGCCAAAAAGTACTAGTAGACTTTCAACATGTGCTGTTAACAGGAAAGGAATGTAAAGCTTAGGCAAGGAGCCTAAGCTGGCTGCTTTGTCTAGATTTAATTAATTAGACCATGTTTGGTACAAAACTAATTTCAAATTACATCAAGGGTTTTTAAGACAGTGAAGGAGATGTTCAGGAGCCATCATAGTGGAGTTATTAAATGCTTACCTGCTTTGGTCTGACCTAGCAGGGATCTTCTTATGTTCACATGTTAATGTAGACAACATTAGGTAGTTCAATGAAGTATACTTAATTATGCAGCTTTATGCTGTGCATGTGTTCCTCAATGGAGATTGATACAAAGAAAATCTGCACTGGACTGTAACTTTAGTATTCAGGTGCCATCTAGTGGAGTTCTTAGATCCTTATGTGCACCATGAACATGAAAGGAAGCTACAAGAAGTAACACACTGCCCTTCATGGCTTTAGAATTCAGCCAGCAGGGTTGAGAAAGATCACATGACAGCATGGATTGTACAGCTTCAAACTAGAGGATATAATTTGGAATACTGCCTTATACATGGGAAACTCCTTGCAAGTAGATGACGTGTATAGCAGGGAACATACTGGGATAGAACCTCTCCCCATGATAGGCTGGGGATTTTCAGTTCTAGGATCTTTGTATTACATGAGGGAGCATTATCACAAAATTCACCAAGTGCAGTCTAAATGGTTCACTTGTTCGAAACAGGGACTCTGGTCCTGACCTACTTCACAGGGGTGGCCTGCAGGGGGAAGTTCTGCATCAATATGGGGTCTCTATGCCCCTGGGGAAATATCCTCTCAGTGATTTCGTCACACCGATGCAGCCTTGTTGTGGAAGGGAGGATCAGGCCCTTCCTCAGGAGCTGCAGAATCTTATCTTGCAAACACTCTTGCTGCTCTCACTCCTAAAGCCACAGAGGTTCAAAGAAACAGGCTCTTGTCCAAAGCCAAATGTATTCAACAACAGATAGCAAGCAGCTTAAAGGAGAAGATTGGGAGAGAAGACTGGGGTGGGGGTGTTAATGGCTATGGGCCTGATGGCTACTCATCAGTAATTAAAAATTATGTATCTCTACCCATTACATAGTAATCCTGCCCTTCTTCCAAGGACTCAGAGTTCAGGGCAGCATATGTTGTCTTCCTCTCATCCATTTTATTCTCACGACAAACTTGCAACCTGGTTTAGGCTAAGAGAAATGGAGTTGTCTGAGGTTACCCTGCAAAACTTTATGGCAAGAGTGGCGATTTAAGCCCAGGTCTCCTCAATCCTTGCAGTTGTTTGGGAATAACACAAGGACTTTGTATCACATGTGGGATGGGACTTTAGTCTCCTAGATGCACACTAGCTCTTCAGTTTGCAGCCACAGCACACAGGGAGAAAGTGGCTGTAGCCTCCCCCCTCTCACAGATTTCACATCTTCTAGCCACCTTCATGGAGCTGCTGTGGCTTCTATTATAAAACTTACATGTAGCCACACAAGTAACATGATTTTATAATGAATCCAATAGTGGCTTCATGGTGTGGTTTGAGGACACAAGAACCATAAAAGTGGGGAAGTTTATGGTCATTTCTCCATGCATGCTGTGGTCACAAAGAGAAAAGTGTCATTGTGTACTAGGGAGGCACAAAACTCCCATCACTCATGTGGTACAAGTCCCAACAAACATGAAGACTTTGTAATGTGTAGATGGAGCCTGTTATATCTCAATAGTGCAGCTTCTGCCATTCCCAGCCGTTAGCTGGGTGTGTGGGGGGAAGGGGCCCTGGGGGGGCCCCACCAGCTAATTAAACCAAAGGCCCCAGGGCAAGGGGGGGTCTGCTTGGCACACACCCACACAGCCCCCACTAGAGCCTTCCTCTGAGGCGAGCCAGAATCCCAATGCTAATAGACACTAAGGCTCCTCAGAGGTCTAGCAAAGCTGCCGTGGTTTTTTTTTTTTAAAGGAGAGTGGGGATCAAGCTTCCTCCCTTCCTCCTTCCCTGAGCCTCCCTCCCTCCTTCCCTGAGTAGACACTAAGGCTCCTCAGAGGTCTAGCAAAGCTGCCGTGGTTTTTTTTTAAAAAAAGGAGAGTGGGGATCAAGCTTCCTCCCTCCCTCCTTCCCTGAGCTGACAATCTTTGCTGAAGCCTGGTGCAGAAAATCCAACAGGAGGAGCGAACTGCTGCAATCTGACCAATGTGTGTGTGACTCGGTCAACCACCGGTTGCTGCTGGGTCCTAAAGAGACTCAGCTCATTGTAGATGAGCTCAAACAGGGAGATACCGGCTCATATTCATGAGGCGACCGATCAGGGGTGAAGGGGCCAGAGGGAGGGAGGGGGAGCTGAGGATCGGGGGAGAGGCCCACAAAAACAGTGGGGAGCCGGGCCCCATGGGCCCCACGTTACCTACGTGCCTGGTTTCTCCCTCAACTGGGGGTGGGGTGGGTTATCTTCTCCAAGCTCACATGAACAACAATTAGTACCCATTGAGAAAACACCTGTAGCCGATGAGAAACATTAACATTCTTTTGTCATACCTCCACAGTTGCTTTAGGCACAGTCACAGGCCCATTCTAAGTAACCAGACAACAATTTCACAACAATATCAATTGAAGACATCCACTACGTTCACGTCTCCGACATGGAAAATTTATGGTTTAGAATGAGTGTATTGTGTCAGAGCCCTGACCTGGATGGCTCAGTCCAGTCTGATCGCAGAAGCTAAGCAGGGTTAGCCCTGGTTAGTACTTGGATAGGAGGCCACCAAGGAAGTCCAGGGCTGGTACACAGAGGCAGGCAATGGCAAACCACCTCTGTTCATCTCTTGCCTTGAAAACCCTACAGGTCATTATAAATCAGTTGCAACTGGATGACACTTTCCACCCACCACATTGTCAGTCTCAGCTTCAGTACATACCTTCACTAAATGATTCAAACCACTAGAAAAGGTTGTCATTTTACTACTGGTTGTCTGACTTCCTTTTCCAAGCTCTGAATGTTCTTTATGGCACAGGAGCTTCTTGACCTTCCTTCGACACGCAGAACAAGCATAATAATAAATCAAGGGGTCAATGCAACAATTGATGGTGCTCATACAGACCGCCAGCATAATGGCATAAGAGAGACTCTTCAGTGGCTGATCAGGTGGAAAGAATAAGCTTTGCACCAACACTAAGACATTTGTTGGCCCAAAACAAAAAATAAAAGAACACAAGACAGCAGCAGACAGGAGTATGGCCTGCCTCTTCTTACCGGGCTTTGTAGCAGTAATTTTAGATGAGCTAAGGTTTTTGATAATGCACACATAGCAGGTGGTAGAAATTATTACTGGGATAAAAAAGAAGGAAACAGATAATGCAGGAAAATAATACTGATACATTTTCATAACAATAGATACATCTAGCACATCAAGGCAGGTAGTGATGTTTAACTGAGGGATTCTCTTTGTTTGTTCTGTGATAAGCAGAGGGATAACTCCAGCTATGGCTACAAGCCAGATGACACAGCATGCCACAGAGGCACACCTTACCGTGCGCCATGACAGAGCCCGCATTGGGTACACCACTGCCAGGAAACGGTCAATGCTTATTGCCATTATCAGCAATATGGAGCAGTACGTATTGCAGTAAAAGGTGGCAGTGACAAAGCGGCACATTTCAGGTCCAAAGGTCCAATTGTGTCCAGAAAAATGGTAGGAAATCTTAAAAGGTAGCGTACTCACAAAGAGCACATCAGCAGAGGCCAAGTTGAACATGTACACAACGGCTGGTTTCTTAAGCTTCAGTCTGACCACAAACATAAAGATTGCCATGAGGTTCAGAGGAAGGCTCAGTGCGAATACAAGAATGTGGACTGAAGGAACAAACCGGGTCAGCCATACACTAGTCAGGTATCTTTCAGCATCTTCTGAGATGTTACTGTAAGCTGTGGCTTGATTAAAATTGGCTGATTGATTTCCAGACTTCACTTTACCAACAGTAATTGCATGGGAAAAAAACTTAAAAAGTAAGGATGAATCTGAAAGAGAAAGTATGGTATGAATCAACTGTAGAAATACTTAAGCTTTTAAAATTAATCCATGTCGATAAAATGGTTATACCTTCTCAGTTTGGGTTCCTCTGCTATTCAGAAGAACATCTGAAATGCCTTATTCTATGTTGCAGGCCTCTTAAAACAAAAAAATTTATTTTATTTATTTATTTTTATTTTATTATTTAATAAAATAAAAAACAGTATAAATATACTTGTTTCAGAAATGTTTTACACCCAGACTGTATCTCAGCAGAAGAACATGTATCTTGCATATAGAGGTTCCCACTCACTGGCCTCTCCAGTGAGTAATATTGCATGTACATTTCCAAAATGAGGCAAAAAACTGCCTCAGGGGTCATTTTACCTTGGGAAAATGGCACACAGAGAAGGCAGGAGCCCCTCCTACCCTACACCACGGTCTGGGGCCAAACTGGACCCCTGCAGAACAGAC